CATTACGAACACGGATAACACTAGCAATTACTTGCAGGATCTCCTCAGGCCTTTTGGTGCTGAATCGCGTCTTTATGGGCAGTGTGTCAAACACAAGATATCACTCGGGTGTGTGCCAGTGGGGAGGTCCCGGCGAGTCTCGATACTACTGGGGTTTCTCTTGGCCTTTGGTCATGGGCTGAGGCTACCTATTAAGAGGGTTTCACTCATTCCGTTACGCTGGTCCAGCTCTTATACGCGGCACGAAGTCGACATGGATCGGTATTTCTTGTTTGTGCACAGTTCCGGGCAAGGGAATGTGCTGGACAGGGCTTGATTTAGTTACTACTCGGATCTCCAAACCTATTCTCAATGATCAATTGCAAGCTATATGCATGCAGGACCTTATATTCATCAGCTATTGTTGGGTTGGGGTTTGAACCTGACTATAGTTCAAGCTATTGGCTAAACAACTATACAGCAAATAACTTCTGGGACTACTTATTTGTGGCCGATTGTTTACTGTATGTATACATACAATTCCCCCACTTACAGGCTCGGAGTCGTGAGGTTCTTCACCCCCGACACCAACATCCTCGCCGCCCCCAACTGCCTCTTCAAATCCTCCTTCTCCACATCATGCGTATCCTCCACCTCCCCCCACCGCCCCGTCTGGAACCTCACCTCCACACTCGCCGCCTCCGCCGCCTCCTCCGCGCCAAACACCTTCTCCCTCCCCATCGAGAACTGCATCTCTTCACTCCACTCCGCCACCAGCCTCGCCGCAATCAACAGACTCTTCGTCGCCAGCACGGCCCTCTCAAGCCCCACCAGATCCCACGCCCCCAGCCTCTCAATCCAGCTCCTAATCACATCTCTCGTCTCCTGCGGCTGCCCCTTCACCGCAATCAACCCCTCGTCCCCGTCAACCGGCACAAGCTTCACCCCCGGCCACACATTCGTAGCCATAAATGCCGTAATCGGCCTCGCGGACTCCTCCTGCATCTCGCGTAGCGACTTGCGCCCCTCCTCTGCGGGCGTCGTCGGCGCGAAGCATAGTAGCGTGTCGGTGTCAAGGTACCGCAGGAGGTTCTCGACGATGTCGTCGCGCTTCGCGACGCTGCCATCGGCGGGAGCGGCGCCCTCGGCTTCGCTGGCTTGCAGGTCGATGGCGCGCGAGGCGAGGCCGGTCAATGGTATGAGGTAGGACTTGAGGGCGTCGGCGGAGGTGCGGAGCAGCGACCATTCGAGCGCGATAGCAGCGGCGAGGACGGGCTTGGTGCGCGGGATGACGATGGGCTGCTTGGTGGGCGTCTTGAGGGGGCGGGTGTCGAGATTTACGCCTAGTGCGCCTATGAAAAGTTTCCGGTGCTGTTAGCTGCGCTCATTCACAAGGTGCGGTAGAGTCGGGGGAAGAACCAGTTTTTGTTTCAACAACAGACACCTCCTTCCAGAAACGGCCACCTTTCGCCGACAGGAGTGTGTTTTCGGCGCGCTCGAGCTTCTGGCGGCGGCGGAGGTCGGCGATCTCGCCGGCGGGGAGTGGCGGCTTGGGTGGCGGCCCGTGGGCGGTTATTGGGAGGGGCGTTGCGCAGGCGGGAGACGATGTGTGTAGGAGGTATTGGGAGGCCGGGAGGAAGGACCGGGTGCTGGATGTTATGCGTGTGCGTGCTGCGAGGCGGGGGAGTAGGCGTGACATGTTTTGTGGTATTTTTGGTGATGGTGGAAAATGGTGGTTTGGATTTTGGAGGTTTCGGGGATTTATGGGTGTGCCAAGACCTGTGGTGATGATCATGGTGTCATCGCTGCTCACTCGGCCAGGGAGCTGGCAGCTGCAGAGGAAGAGCGAACAGTAACGATTCCTAGATAACTGCTCTGTTATAGGAGTAGGACGCCTTTCAGATACTCGAGGATTGGAAGGAAGGCTGCAGGATTCAAAGGAGAGCTGAAACCTCACTCGCGATGCCATCAGCCAGATATGGGTGCGAGTGATGGTGCATGCATGTATTCTTCTATCCCCTCTCGACGCCCAAAACCCTGTTTTCCTCTTTCATAATTGAGGTCTAGATGCTAGGAATAGATTGTGAGATCTAAAGGCGGGTGAGGAGAACACTGGTAATTCACTGGTCTCCATATAATACGAATTGGACTGACAGGATCAGGAGACGGAGGTGAGTTCAAGTCCTTAGCTCTTATGATCGCATAGAAACACAGCAGGTATGAAGTACCTACCCACGTGTTCCTAATTTGCATGCCTCCTAAGCTTTTCCAGACAGCACTATCAAAGATCCACAAAGCATGGAGCTCGCGTATATCCGTGCGTGGGAAAGAATTCAGGCTCAATGAACTGAAGGACGTGCCCACATTAACCGCAAACTCAGTCTGCAATACTAACCTCAAACCCAGAGTTCCGGTGCAGCAAAGCTAATGTGAGTCGGGTGGTAGATCACTCAGGAACAACAGCGCAGGTGGATCAACATGTCTTGCAGCCAGCCAGACACCTACCTACTCTAAGGGACGTAGGCACATGAAGTACTCCAGAGTAGTGTGGGGGTGCAAATGGAGGTTACTTCCACAGACGTCATTCATTCATTCCTTCTCATGCGCAGCCAGCTGAAGGAATGCAAACTGTGGCATTTGGAGCACTGGCTATGGAACGTGGCTCGCTGGTACAGAAACTATAAAGAAGCTCTCTTCCACGCACTTGTATCTTCTGATCTCCTTTGTCTTATCTCATCCTTGTCGGCTTACTAGAGTGGAGCACTATCCATAGTCATCGGGCCCAGCATCCTGCAGGCAGAGAGTGCTAGGTACATGTAGCTACATGTTTTACTCTACTCTAGGGCGTGAGATACCTAGATAGCCATGATAAGTGCTACCCATAACTGACCCCTCTTTCAAGTGTCTTTTTTTGATGACCTGCAGGCAAATCCTCTCGTTGTTCGTGTACCACAAAGTTTGGGAAACGGAAACCCGGGTGTGGAATTCTTTGCGCTGTGTTGCTGTAGCAACACTTCATCCACGAGGGCTGCAAACTTCACGTTGAAAGCCTACCAGAAGTTGTATTTGCTCTGGATCCTGCTCTGGCCGGTCGGATCTCACAACAACGCGTCTCAACAGCTCTTACTCATTTGACCCTCTCCTCCCCCCAATTCCATGCCTCACATCGAAATGAGTGCTGCTGTCCCAAACGACACGGTGTGGGTAGCTGGGCTGGGGGGGAAGAGGAGCGCAATCTAAGGTCCACCACCCTACAAATTGAAGAGGAGCGGAGCAACAGTGCGTCATCTTGCTGTGCTTGTCTGATTGATCGAGAAAAAAACGCACCAACCAGGTGAAAGGGCAGCACGGTCCAGTCTGGAATGCAATGAGGTGCCAAGTTTCTTCACAACCTCCATCTTATCGTGGCTCTCCCACTCCCGTGATTCGTCACCTGGAACGATGCCCGATTCAACCCTGTAGAAATGTGAATTGAAGCTCTGACTGGTTGTCAGCGCAACCGAGAAAAAAAGTTGGATTCTGCTTTGGCCTTTGGGAAGGGAAGGTGCCTAGTACGGTATTGTAGTTAGTAGCAGAGGGAGGTAAGACGCGAGTAAACAAACGCTCTCCACCACCCCCACCACCCAACCCGCTCGCTGCCCACATCCATCAGAGAAACGCAAAACAACTCTGGGCCTTGCTTGTTGTTGACATCAGCTGCCTGCCGGAAAGAGTGAGAGCTTCCCTTTCCCTCTAACCTATCCCTCTGGCCGTCCACCATTCGCACCTACAGCTGTCGGCTCCTCCCTCCCCCCCCACCCCTGACATTACCGGCGACACGTTTTTTTATTTTTCCTTTGCATCTTGGGAAATCGTGCATATACATATCTACCCAGTGCCGGATTCCGCTGTGTCCGCTGTCTGCCCGTGGAACGTTCGATACCTACTAGCAAGGGGCCTGCATCAACGGTAAGGAAGGAGCAGAGAAGCAAGAGCAGACAGAGAGAGTGGAAGGGAAGAAAGAAAGAAAAAGGGTCTCTAATCAGAACTGATTTACAATAGGAGAATAAAGAAGATTCCGTTGACAAGCCAAGCACAAAAAAAAAGCCAGAAAGGTCAAGCTGAGGAGAGAATCAAGAAAGTACCCCATTCATCCTAAGCAGTCAATCCGCCAGCCCGGTTTCTGTGCCATCTTCTGTTTTTGAATTCAAATCCCCTGCTGTCTTTCCCACCCTACCCTATCCTACCTATCCTACCTATATTCCTTCTACAGGTCTCCCCGCCAAGCTGCCACGTCGCTGCGTTTGGGAAATAACAGAGCAGGAGGAGGAGGAGAGACCCTTTCTTACAACGGACCCAGCCAGCCAGCTAGCTAGGTAGCTCCGGCCGGCCTCAATATCAAGAAAACAATTCGCCAGGAACGCATCCGAATCCCTACGTCCTCTCTCCCAGGTTTGAAAACACTTGCAGCGATATACCTCGAGGGTTAAATCTCCCGTTACGTCAACTTCCTTCACAACCCGCGACCACACGCGGCCCCGCTCCAATTCGACCGAGTGAGAGTGGGTGGTAGAGAGAAGAGGAAGAGAGTGGAGAGATAGAGAAAGGGAGCTCTACATAGCAGCTAGTAGGTAAATATTTTGTTCTTGTCTACAGGCCCATCGATTCATTACATCGTGACACCCAAGTGCGTGCGGTGCGGCTCTAGAGCTCTAATTGGACCTTGTATTTTTCTAACAATAACAACACCATTACCCATTCACCATCGGCCTGTCAATTGTCTCATTGGCTGCTGAATTTCTGGGAGAGAGGCTGTTACGGGGGGCTCAAATACTCAGCCGATCCTACATAGTCTCGAACTAATCTATTGATCTTTCTTGGTACTTTCTTTTCGAGCTCTCTTGGAACCCCCCAGCTTCTATTCTCTCCCTCCTTCCCTACCCCCCCCCCCCCCCCCCCCTCTCACCCCCCTCCCACCAGGCATTGTTAACCAACTAGCCCGCGCAATGAGTAGTAAACCGAAATCCCCACACTACCCAACAATGGTAGCCACGCCCACAACCCCCCGAAAAGCTGCCGCCGACCCAGACGATAACATCCCATGCAAGACGCCCTCACCGCGCTCGTCAGCCTCGCAGGCACCCCCGAACCCCCGACACAACGAGGAGGAAGGCACGCCGCGGGTAAACCCCCATGCGAACGTGTCGAGCCACCCCTTCAAAGGGTTCGGGCTCAAGTTCATGAAGAAGGCTGGCGGCGGCGGTCACGGCGACGACCTTGACGACCGGCTCCACAGGAAGACCAAGGAGCAGATGGAGCGGGCAAAGAAGCTGGACCTGGGCCCTGCGCTGGGCCCGCATGATACGGTCAATGTGCGCGAGCGGGTCAGGAAGTGGCAGGCGGCCGGGGGGGGCGTTGTGAATGGGGACCCTGTTGAGATGCCGCCGATCATGCCGGCGACACCGTCGCCTCCGGCACCAAGGAAGAGGGGCTTGTCGACTGCGACGGCTGAGACGGATCATTCGCCGCTTGTGCCGCCAGATGTCATTATGAAGGAGCTGCGAGAGGGGTGGGAGAGCGCTTCTGACGCTGACAAACAAGCTGAGCGAAGGAGAGCGCGGAGTAAGGAACGGGAACGAAAAATGAAGCGTCGAAGAGACCGGGAGAGAGGGCTTAACAAGGACTCAAGCGTGGGCGCTCAAACTGAGTATGAGGTGGAGGTCATGTTTGGCTCGGAGAAAGAGGGTACCAGTGGTGTCAGCAAAAGCATAGTCTACGACGACGACGGCATAAGGATAACGCCCATACGTGTCAAACGACGAGGCTCCGGGAGTCGGAAGAAGAAGAAGAAGGACAAAGTAGCGGCAGCGGAGGTGCAGACCGACAATGACGGCGGCGGAGGCGTGAAGGTTGAGCCCGAAACCGAGGTTGAGGAAGATGGCGGCGGTGTGAAGGTAGAGGTTAAGGCCTGGGAACAGGACGATGGAATCCGAATATACACCACCAAGCCCAAGACTCCCATACCAAAAACTCCAGTCTTCGCAAGGGTCCAGGGGGGCACCCGCCAGAATTCGGTCCGGAAGGGTGAGAAGAGCGTCCGCGCACGGAAGGAAGAGTTCGAGGCGGAGATGAGACGGGAGAGGAAGGCCACGAAGGAGTTCGAGGGGTTGGTCAAACAGCAAGAGGCAGATGAGGCCGAGGAGAAGCTCAAAGAGGAGAGGTTGGAACGCGCCAAGGGATACGAAGAAGCAACCTCTCCCAAGGACGGTTCGAATAACAACATTGAAGGTTCCACAATTGTAGGGGACACTGAATCGGCAAAGAAGAAGTGGGAAGAATTCAACGATGATGATGGCATCCGGGTCAAGCCATTGAAGAAGGGGCGCCGAAAGAAGGGCGCCTCATCGGAAAAGCTGAAGAGTGAAAGGGAGGCCAGCATCCCCGAAGAAAGCATCGCAGGATCAGAGACGGAGATGGAACAGGAAAAGCTAGAGGAACAGCGGCGGAGGGAACGTGAACTCGCTGAGATTGAGAGCGAGCGTCTACGCCAGCAACGCCAAAAGGATAGAGAGAAGCTTGAGAGGGAGCGTCAACGTGTGCGTGAGCTCGAGAAGCTGGAGCAGGTCCGTTCACGTGAGCGTGAAAACGAAAGGCTTGAAATGGAGCGTGAATTGGAGATAGAGAGAGCGGAGAAGGAACGTCTGCACCAAATCGAGCTGGACAAACTTGAGAAGGAGAGAAAACGCCAACGGGAACTCGAAAAAGCGCTGGAGAAGGAAAAAGTAAAAAGGGAGAAAGAAAAGATACGGCTGCGTGAGAAGGAGCGAGAAATGGAGGCAGAACGAAAACGTGAACGGCAGCGGATGAAGGAAAGAGAAAAAGAATTGGAGAGAGAACGAGAGAGGGAAAAGGAAAAAATGAAGGAGAAGGAAAGGCACCGTGAAAAAGAGAGAGAGCGAGAGCGGGCACAGGAGCGCGAAAGAGAGAAAGAAATGGAGAGGGAGAGGGGACTTTTACGTGCCAAAGAAAAGGAGCTAGAGCGCGAGAGAGAGCGTGAGATAAGGCGGGTGAGGGACATGGAAAATCAACGGGAGATGGAACGGCAAAGGGAAAGGGAAATGGAAAAAGAGATGCAGAGACGAAGGAACGAAAAACGTAGGAGGAGGGAATCTGAAAGGCAGAGGCCTGCTGGTTCCGGATCCGAATTGGATGAAGATTCTGCATCAGAGCCTGAGTCCGCGCCCTTCAAGAGTACAAAAACAACTCCCAGGCCTCGAACCCCCGAAGATCCATTATTGGAATTTCTCAGGAAGGCGGCAAAACGAGGTAGCCCACGTCTTGCAAAAGATAGGAGCTCTCTCGACGATAAGAGCGAACAAACATCTCATAGAGACTCGACCCCACCCCTTGAATCTCCGAAGCGGTGGGAGTCACGGAAAGAGAAGAAATCGAGAAGTGCCTCCGCTACGCCAACACCGAGTACTCCGTCTCCCAAACCAGCTGAGGAGAATTCCCCACCCCCAACTCCGGGCTTTGCAAATGAAGACCCCCCCGAAACCCCTACCATTCCTAATAGACCGAAGAGAACTAAAACTAAGAGCAAGAGTTCGATTCATCCTCCAGAAGCAGATAAACCCACTGGTATATCATCTAGGTCGGTTTCCTCTCAAGAAGACGTATCATTGAAGGCGAAACAACCAAGTGTGAGGTCCACATCTCAATCTCAACTAGACGAGGATTCCACCCTCAAGGATACAACGGAAGAAAGGCCATCTACTGCTCGGTCAGATGGATCTTCTAGATCATCACAATCATCTATACTTCCCGTCAATACTCTCCCGCCGATGCCTTTGAGCCCGCCAGCTGTAAAGCCTCTTAATCTTTCGCCTAAAAAGAAAAAGAGTGATAGCGGGAACCTTCTACCAAAGGTTTCGTCAGCAGCTAGCTCCTTCTTCAAAGCCGTTAAAGAAGAGTTTCAAGCTGCTTCTGCGCGGGCCAATGAACCATCTTCATCTTCATCTTCAAGCGATTCTTCGAGTGATGGTGAAAGTATAACAGATGTTATGGAACGTCGGACAGAAGCGCCAACTAGGGAAAAATCTGTGTCCAGGCCAAAGAAAGAGGATACCGAATCGGAATCGGAGTCCGAGTCGGATACAGAATCTGAGCCGGAGGTAGAAGTCAAAGAGAAGGTAAAGGCAGATGAAAAGAAACCGGAGGTAAAGGAGGAAGAGCCGGAAACACCCGAAGAGAAACCGGTATCAAGGTCTTCATCGCTGAAGAATAGCCTCAAACTTCAAGATATTCCATCACTTCCCTTCCCACGGAGAAGTATTCGCAACTCTACCTCCCCACCCAGACCTAAAAGCCACAACCGGTCGCGTACCGAAGGATCGATCAAATCCACTCGTTCTGTTTCTCAAGATTCGGCCTCTATGGTTGGGTCTGAACATGCGAGAACGATTTCACTTTCTTCCGTAGCTACAGTTAAGCCTTTAAATATTACGCCAAGACCAACTCCCGTACTAAAGTTTGATCCTGTTTCTCCCCCTCCCCAGCCAAAGCCACAGAAGAGACATGTGGAGGTGCAGTCTATCTCGGAGAAGGATGCCCAAGAAGAGACCTACACACCAAGTATCCTCTCGAAAGGTGGCAGTTTGAAACGCAAGTTCACCAAACATGAAGACCTTATCTCCATCCTCTCGGCGCCAAAGCCTGGCAAAAGTCTCCGATCTGCGGCCCGGTCCAGGAGCCACCGTACCAAGGCCAAGAAGGCAAACAGAAAAGTTTCTACACTCACTGTCACTGACCTTATGGATGAGATTGCAGCAGAAGAGGTGAGGTATATGAGGGAGCTTCGAACATTGGTTGAAGATGTTGTTCCTGTGCTTTTTGCAACTGTCCTCGAGCGGGCCGATGATGTGGTAAGGAGGAGATCCTTAAACCGTGGTCGTGGCCATGAGTATAGTCCTTGGAATGCATTTGGAGCAAATCCAACCCGACCAATAGTGGACATGGGTATCTCCCTTGAACGCCTTAAAACCATGCATGAAAAGATGCCGAAGAACCCAGATGATCTTCTCATTTGGGCCAGAGACGTAAAGAAGGTATATGAGGAGTACTTGACTGTTTGGCGCATGGGATTCCAGGATGTAGTCGTGACTCTAGTTTCCCATGTTGAAGAGGAGTTCAACGATGAGGCCTCTCAAAAACAAAGAGATGATGCTGCAAGGAAGGACTTGGAGCTGCTTTACAGCTTCGGGGTAGCTCCACTCACCCCTTCTCCATTTGAGGGTGATCCTTCAACCTGGGCCATGCCACCTCCACCACCTCCAGAGCCCGAGGAAGAGGAGGAGAAGGTTGATGTAGCGTTCTTACTGAAGAGACCTCTTGTAAGGTTGAAGATCTTGGCAAAGCTTTTCAAGGTAACTCTCTCTAATATTATCCTACCTAGACCATACCAATCGTGGTCAATGTGTGGGGCCCCACACATACAAAATTCTTCATCTTACAAGGACATTTATAACTAACCCAAAACTTGAAATGTATAGCGAATCAACATGCTTTGCCCTTCTCCACTTGCGGTCTCGCTCTCATCTTCATTTCATTCGTTGGTCACCATGGCCCGCCGGAAGATCGCTGAAGAGAAGGCACGCATTGAAGATGAGGCAGCGGCTTCAATAGACGTTGACAAGGCATGCGACATATACAGCTTACTGACCAAACCCGACGTTTATTTGGATCCATCCAAACGTGTTCGGGCACGTGATAGCTTCTGGATGAAACTTTATCATTCCTCTGGGCGTGTGATACAGAGGAGTGTTGAATTGATTCTCCGGGACCCAGCTGTGAAGGGCAGACCACATGGAGGCGAAATTCTTATCTGTGAATTTGGTGCTGGTGCGGAAAAGTGGATGCTCTTTACACCTATCCCCCTTGCTGCCATTTCTGCGAGGACAGGTGATGCAGCTGGCGAAATCGTTGTGATGGTTAGAGGGGCCGTGGGAACGCAGGATGAGTGGAAGCAGATTCTTGTTTTGCAGTCTGCCACAGCGGCAGGCTTTGAGTGGGTCCAGATGCTGGGTCTCATGCCTGTTCCACCAGAGGGGCCATTTGGGGCGGAGGTTCATAAACCTACTGTCCTTGAAACGGTTATCGAAGAATCAACCATTGCCTCCGCTTCACGTATGAACACACCTGCTATCAGTCAACAAGGAAAGCCCGCCATTGATGTTTTTGCATTTATGGAGCCGGAGGGCGAGGAGGAAGACGGCAAGGACGACAACGACAACGAACCCAAACCCGAAGACGACAACGCTGAGGACCCTGAACCTCGGCCGTTGTCTGTCAGGCCGTTATCTGTCAGGCCGTTATCGGTTACACCCTCCACCAAATCCTCAATCCCCAGATCCGAGAACGCCTTTGGGGTACCCACTCCCGAGTTTAAGCCAGCAGAAGCACCACCTCGGCCGCTTTCGCTTCCTCCGGATTTTGCTGTGACACCTATCACTCCGGGCGGCTATAACTTCTTGGGAGGATTTTTCCAGGTGGTCAACGTTAATGCTGACGGAACGGATAGAGAGCCTGATGAGAGCCACATCTTACTTGCATCGCCTCTGAAGCATTCACCATCCCTGCATACCTTGTCGGACTCGGCGAGAGCTGCCCAAAATGAGAATAGGCGTTCTGTTTCTGGTTCTAGCATTCAGCGGTCTCGCAAGGCCAGCAAGCCAATTACTCCAAGACGTCCGTCTGTGGTTAGTCTTGAGGAAGTTCATGATGAACGCCCGAGATCTCCGAGCCCGCCGCCAGAACCCAGGGCTTTCGATACTCCGAGAACTCTCAACCGGATGCGCTCTATTCATCTCGATGACGAGGAACGACCAAAGGCTTTGAGGATAACCAAATCTTCGTCTTTGGAAAACATTCCAGACCTCTCTCCTAGCCCAGAAACGCCAAGCGAAGAGATTGAGGAGTCAGACGCTCCCCCGCCAGTTCCGGCTCATAAGTCCAAGAAATCTCGCACACCTGTTGCTGCGGAACCTCCAGTCTCTTCTACTCGATCGGGTGCCCCACGGCGCCGGACATCGAGCCCTCTCAAGCATGAGTATGACCCCTCTTCTCCTTCGGGCTCTGAAGCCGAAGTCGATGAAGATGAGGAGATAGAGGAGATAGGAGAGGCGAAGATAGTTGTAGTAGATGCAGTGGAAAGAGTGGAACCTGAGACTGGAGAGCCGACTACGCAGGAAGAAGGTTCCTCTGGGACCTCGTCCTCTTCTTCTGAAGATGAGGATTCTGATGATGCGGTGTCGATCTGTTCCGAGGAAGAGGATGGCGAATATCCTCCGCCTATGCTTTCAATCCCTAGGCGCGTCTCGAAACAGCCGTCCAGTCTCGTTCAGTCGCCAAGGCAGCGGCCTTCTTCAGTATCGTTAGACAGCACCCCAACTATCGCGACGACGGCAACTGCTGCTACCTTGCAGGCGCCAGTCCCGACGTTGAAGTTCCGAGCTTCAGTGTTCTCATGGGCCACCAGTACATGGGAAAAAGTGCATCCGACCGAGTGCAGGATCCTTATAACGCCTGGACGTATTGAAGGTATTCCTTACTCGGCGCCCTCGCCGCCAGGAACCCCGAGCTCTCAAGGTTCCCTTAAAGACATCAAGAAGCCGTCCGACACCAGTTTGGAGTCGTGCATGACAATTTTCAATATCGAACTCACTCCCATCACTCCTGTACGACGTGGAACGGCGGTCGACATCTCAATCCGTACACCAAAGAACTCCAAGTTCGGCGGAACGAGTCTTATGCTACGATGCCGTTCTCCCACGGAGTGTGAGAATTTGTACAATGCTATCAATCTTAACAGAATCTACCCGGCCAACTTTCAACCCCCGTCGACTTTATTGAGCACACTCACGGTATCCGAGTCGAGTGAGACCTCAACTGGCGACAACACTAGTGTCAAGCGAGGTTGGGGAAGTTGGGGTAGGTCAAAGACTTACCGTAATGGGACTTCTAGCGTCCCGGGAAGTGTCATCTCTGGTCAATCCGGTCAATCGGGCCAATCTGAGAGCAGCAACTCTTCAGTTTTTGGACGATTCCTTCAGAAGAATGGCATGTTGAAGAGCTCCCAGCTTGGCTCTATGGCATCAATCTCATCTGCTAGCTCTAATGGCGATGGCTCCCGCACTGTCGTGCTCGATGGGGATCAGATCTTCAAGATCCGTCTGTACCGCCGCGAGAATGCATCCAAGTGGAGGGATCTTGGCAACTCGAGGCTCAGTATCATGAAGCCTCCGTCAAATCACAAGCGCCACAATGCTACCGGCGACGAAAAGAGGATTATTGCAACCAACAAGAAGGGCAACGTTGTCTTACTAGACGTGGTACTGGGAGAATCATCGTTTGAGAGGGTTGCGAGAACGGGTATTGCGGTAAGCGTGTTAGTTCCCGAAGGAGAAGAGAATGGCACGGGTGTTCCCGGGGATGTGGGAGGCCTTGGTGCCAAGAGTGTTGTCTATATGATGCAGGTAAGTCGGGTGTACACTCATATGATTGTCGTTGTTTGGTATCATATACTGATATGTTTGTCCTTTCTACAGATGAAGGGTGAAGTGGAGGCGTCGTACGTCTTCTCGATTGTCGGGAAGTTGAGATATTAGTTTTAGTTGTAATACCCTTTTTTTTTTTTTTCTTTTGTGCATAGTAGTTGGCCTACAGGAGGATATATTTTTATTTTGATGGCGAAATCACCCCTCTCATTCATTAGTGCTCGTGTTACTTTTGTTTTGTTTGTGTTGAAAAACGGTCTAGTATACAGGAGTTTAGGCATTTCATTTGGGAAAGGGAGTGGAGTCTGTATATTTTGTTTTGGGATTTTTTTTGTTACCTTTTTTTGTTCTTTTTCTATTAGTATAATCATGTAGTATTGTGCGGCGGCAGCATTAGTTGGGGGTTTTCTTCTTCTTGTCCTGATCGATGGCATTTTCAGCGGGCCCGTGCAGTCGGTATATACCCTAGCATCGCGAGCTCTGACCGTTTAAGAGCCAGGTTATGAGTATAAGTGTCTCTTCGAATACCCCCGCCCGTATGTACCGGTACATTTCTTCTTCTTCTTCTTCTTCTTCTTCTTCTTCTTCTTCCTCTTCCTCTTCCTCTTCCTCTTCCTAGGACCCTCTTCTTTTTCCAGGTTTTAATCACTTTACGATTCAGCCGTATTCGCGGCCGGTCACATTTTCGAGCTTAAGTGCACATTCAATATTCATTCACGTGCATGATGCGATGAACGCATCCGAGTGATTGCCCATGTCCACACCCACACACCCACACAACCCCTGCACGCCTTACGCATGCCATGTCGATCCGTTGCACGTTAATGCCAGCGCCAATCTTACTGGCCGGCGGGCTCCAACACCGAAACATTAGTTCTGTAATCGTTATTATTCCTTCACCCACCCCGATCCGTAAATCACAATATCTACAGCAGCAGCGCGCAAAGCTCGGGTATGCGGCTCTGGTGTACTCTCTGTCAGTGCTCGCCGGTGGCCGCGCAGCTATATATAATATATTATATGTACATATGCAGCAGCATGGGCAGAGGCGGCACGGAAACCCCTGCGAGAATACGAGGGCACCGATGATCTCATCTCTACACGTCCGTTGCTAGCTGGGCATGGCAGTTGGCCCCCAACTCCATGGAGCAGTTGTAGAGTGTGTGCTCTCTAGTTGGCTAGACCCAATATATCCCGAATATAGTAGCTCGACGGAGCTAAAGGGAAGCCGTAACGGCCGCTCATAGTACTAGTACTTTACATCGAGCGGCCTGTCAGGTATAAATAGAGCACAAACCGCCCCACATATGTAGATGTAGCTCTAAGAACTAAAAACCAATTACGACCTTAAATCCCATACATATATCTACTTGCCAGAACACATTTAAATCCAACCCCCCCCCACACACACAAAAAAAAAAAAAAAGGATCAGCACCCCAATAATGCCATCCTCCACCACCGCCGCGCCCAACTACGGCTCGCAGAAGCCCATCTTCCTCGCCACGCACCCGCGCGCCTGCTCCACGGCGTTTGAGCGGGTGATGATGACGCGGTCGGACGACGCCCTGGTGTGCATCCACGAGCCGTTTGGCGACGCCTTCTACTACGGGCCCGAGCGGCTGGGGCGCCGCTTCGACGGCGAGGAGATGCGCGGCGTGAGGGAGCGGAGTGGGTTTGCGGAGGTGACGTTTGCGGATGTGGTGGCGGGCATTGAGGAGGCGAGGATGGCGGCCGAATTGGTGCGTTGAGTGTGGCTTTTCTTATTTGTTGCTGTTTTTTTTTTTTTTTTTTTAGGGTGGGGTGGTCATTGGCTTTTGGGGTGCGCGAGGTTGGGGTTTGTGGGCGGTTGGATCATTGGCTTTTGGGACTTGGTTCTTGGTCTTTGGTAGCGTTCTTCGTTGGAGTTGATTGTTCTTTCTTTTGATTGATTATTTGCTTGTGGCCCCTACCCGAATTATTGGTTTTGGGAGTCGTGATATCGATGCAACTATTATAGCACGGGGAGTTTCGTCAGCTTATCATTATATCCTTATGCCCTGCCTTCTAACCATAATACCGCCTCACCTGAATACTTGTTAGCATCCATAGCTTCCCAGAAGACCCAGCAGCTAACAACCCCCCCCCAAAACAGGAAAACAAGCGCATCTTCATCAAAGACATAACACACTACCTCCTCCCACCCACGCCCACCCCGCCCACCCCGCACTCCCCCCTCGCCCCCTCCCTCTCCTTCCCCCGCAAAGGCTACGGCACCCACGCCCCCGAAGACAGCACCAACCCCACGGTGCTCCCACTGCACATCCTGCGCCGCTACCAGTTCACATTCCTGATCCGGCACCCGCGGCGCGCCATCCCGTCCTACTACCGGTGCTGCATCCCGCCGCTGTCGGCCGCCACGGGCTTCGACCACTTCCGCGCCGACGAGGCGGGCTACCGCGAGCTGCGCGTGTTTGTCGAGTTCCTGCTGGCGCAGGGCGTGGTGCGCAGGGAGGAGCTGTGTGTGGTGGATGCGGACGACCTGCTGGACGCGCCGGAGAAGGTGATGAGGAGGTATTGCGAGGCCGTGGGGTTCGACTTTAGGGTGGGGATGTTGGGGTGGGGGGAGGGCGGCGAGGGGTGCGAGAAGTTTGATAAGTGGAAGGGGTTTCATGAGGATGCGATTGGGAGTGTGGGGTTGAGGCCGAGGGTTAAGGTGAGTTTTTCTTTTTTTTTTCTCTTTTTTTTTTTTTTTGGTGCTTTGTGGGAAGTGAGAGCTGATGTATTGGTATATAGAAGCAGGAGAAGTCGGAGGAGGAGGAGTATCAGGGGTGGGTGCAGAAGTATGGGAAGGAGGGGGCGGACCTGATCAGGGAGACGGCGGAGAAGAACTTGGAGGACTATGAGTTCTTGAAGCAGTTCAAGATGGTAATTTAGATGGGTGTTTCATGGACTTTGGTTGTGTTAGCAGACACCTACTACTACAATACTACTACTACTACTACTACTACTGAGTTGTATAGAAGGCTATATAGCTGCGCTGAGTCGAGTCGAGTGGGGAATTTCTCTATTTCGTTGTTACTTCTGGTTTATTAGTATTCATGCTGTGAGATGTACTGGTAATGGCGACATAGCTTAGCTACTACTTGCGAGCTACAATATCATTGATATTTGGCGACACGAGTGAGTATGAGTATTCTAGCTACTGGCTACTAGTAAGCGTAGAACGGCGGATCGCCGCTGCCACAAACGCCTCCGCAGCCCTACCGTGTCTGCCGTGTCTGCCGCGTCTCCCGGCCCCACTCACCCAGCAAGCCGGGCCAGGGTTTCTCCCAAGCCAACATGACGCACTCCCCGAGCTGACCAGTGACGTTACCGCCAAGCCCCTCCCGCTGACTAATCAACCCCCCAACCCACTAACATCTCGAGCTCTACCTTGCCAACAACCATCGATCATCATCACCCAGGTCACCGTCCTCACCGTCCTCACCGTCCCCCCCCCACTTTACTCCCATCCCACGCAGAAAGCCAGAAGAAGAAGAAGAAGAGGAAAGAAAGAAAAAACCAGCAAGCCATGCGGTACACGTACCATATACCCGCCGCGCTCCTCGCGCTGCCGTCCCTCGTGGCCGCCAGCTTCTCGTGCCAGGCCACCCCGGGTGGCAACGTCAAGTTCGACTTTAGCCCGCTCAAGGGCGCGCACTCGATCACGATGGGCCCGAAGGACGACTATCCGTTTGTATGTTGCTTGTCTGTTTGTTTGCTGCTGCTGCTGCTGCTGCTGCTGTTGCTTGTTGTTGTGGAGAGAGAGATTGATGCTGATGGTTACGGTGGTGCGTGCTGGTAGGTGAGGAACATTACGTGGACGATAAACCCGTGTGGGCCGATAGGCAAGGAGAAGCACATCCCCGCGAAGGAGCAGTGTCCCGCGGGCACCCAAGGTACACGCACCACCCCCCCCCCCCCCACCCCCCCAAACCCCCGCGGAGTGTGTTTGCTGATATGTGTCATGTGGAATGAGCAGTGTGCGGCATCGAGCGCATAGGCCAGGAGGGCGACGAGACACCGCTGGTGGCCGTGATTCCCATAGCGGGCGACATCGAGGGCCGGCACACGGACGAGGTTGTGGAGCGCCTCAAGACCTCGACGGCCCCGACGGACCAGGGCAAGGAGGGGCTGCGCGTGGTGCTCCATGGCGGCCTGTATAACAATGCGAAGCAGCAGGCGATCGTGGACTTTATCTGTGATCCCGACAAGACGGGGCTTGAGGGCGACGAGCCGGACGAGACGGAGCCGGAGGAGGCCGGGAAGACGGAGGGCGTGGCTAGGAGGTCGCCGGAAGAGGATAAGGGCGGAGATAAGGAGAAGAAGGACCGTAGTCTGAAGTATGTCAGTTATGAGAGTGTGGAGGGGAAGCATACGTTGAGGCTTGAGTGGAAGACTAAGTATGCCTGTGAGACTGCGACTGGGGGTGATGGATCTCCGGACTCGGGGAGCGGGTGGGGCTTCTTCACGTGGTTTATCATCATGTGAGTATCTTTTTCTCGGCTTGGGCTGTCCGGGGTGTTGCTGACAGGATATAGTTTGTTCCTTGGTATCGCTGCGTATCTCATCTTTGGTTCATGGCTGAACTACAACCGGTACGGTGCAAGAGGGTATTTACCACCTATCTCTTCTTTCCCCGTTTCCACTCCTTTAGGGAATGAAGACTAACACTGCAACCCAGCTGGGACCTCCTCCCGCACGGCGACACAATCAGAGACGTCCCATACCTCCTCAAAGAATGGTGCCGGAGAGTCATCGGCACACTACAAAGAGGCGGTGGCCGAGGCGGTTACAGCGCCGTGTAGACATCCACATCGGGGGTGGGCGACTTCTTTCCCTCTCTCTCCTTCTTTTGTCAAATCACCATCATATCTCGTATAGTTTTTTGTTTGGGTGTGTGCATTGATTGGCTCTGGGTCTCTTTTTTTTTTTCATAGCAGCAAACTCCCCTTTTTTTTCTCTTCTTTTTTACCTTCCCCTCCCGCTTCGCTTCCATATTAGTATCTTATCTCTTGCTCTCTCCCCCCCCCCCCCCCCCCCCCCTTTTTTTTTTTTTTTTTACTTTATCATGGAGGACATACAGTCGGTGGGGGTATATCAGCACGCGGACACTTTTTTTGTTCTATTTCGCTCCTTTTCTCAATTGGCCTGATATTTCGTGGGGGTTTTTTTTTGTGCTTTTTTGTGGCTGGACCTCGACCTTGGCCTTGGTAGCTACTTAGCTAGGTGGTGCTTTTTTCTAGAACGGTAGCGTGCGTGTGCAATTTATTGTTTTTTATATCTGAGGTGTTGGTCGTCGTAGTGGTGGGTGGGTGGGGGCGAGTGAGGGGTTGTGATGCGGTGACGTTGGTTGTCTGCAGCACCGGAGCCAAACTTACTCCTGTAGTCTTCGAGGGTGGTAACGAGCGCCTTTACGCGTAGTGCTTTAACAAGCATTTCCTTATCTCATAGCTGTTTGGCTGTACATGAAATCAGAGAGGCTACTCACCTGAACGTGCACAAGGCCGTCCGTAGGACTGTTGCACAGGTCATCACTCGGATCTGAATTTGGCCGGGTACCGGGCAGGTGCGAAGCTGGAACTGAAGTGTTATGGGAAAGATGAGTATAATACGGCAACGAAGATAGACAAGCAAAGTATGGAATATAAAAAAGGAATATACCCACCCCCCCACCCCCACCATTACCCCATTATCCGATTATCAAACCACACACACACGCTCAGCGAATACCCTCCACACCCCGCCCCACACCAACACCCACTCCCACGTAACCCACCTTCGTCCCCGCCCCACCCCGCCCCACCCCGCCCCGCCCGCAGCCAAGCCCCGTCCATCCCACCCCAACCCAGCCAGCCCTACCCACCAGCCCTAGCGAGCGGCAAAATCATGATCCTCTCAGCTATCAAAGCCACCCACTTCCTCTTCAATCATCCTGCTGCGACGGGCGGTAAGTGAAGTGGCTTGTAGGTAAAGGCCAAGTACCTCCCTACAAGCTGCTTGCTGCTGTGACCAACCAGCCGGGGCACCGGCAGGGACAGCTGGTGCTGGGGGAGGGGGAGGGGCGGCGGGGGCGGGGGCGACGATGGAAGCCTTCGCTGTTGGCGTCGTCGGTTCTTGGTCTTGGTGGAATGACTGGGATCGGGGGTGCTAACGGAGGGGGATTCCGTCGTTGCTGCTTGCAGGCGGAGGTTGTGTGTGCGGTCTCTTCCTTCGCCGGCTGGGTGGGAGCTGGGGTTTTTTTTTGGGCCTGGCTGCTGGCGGCGGGGCTTGGGGGCTGGCTCTTGGTGGGCGCCTGAAGGGTGGAGGGGGGGTGAAGTGGGGCTTGGTGGGGCAGGGATGGTTTTCTCGGGCTCTGGCGACGGGCTGGAGTTTGGAGGGAGCTATGCCTGGTTCTCACTGGGCTCTTGCTTTGGCGGGGGTTTGGGAGACCCAGGGGGTTTTCTTTTCGCTCTGGCTACGGCTGGAGTGTGAAGAGAACCATCCCCTAGGTCTCCACAAGCTCTCACGCCGCTGGGGATATCGAGAGGTAGCTTTCTTTGGACTCTCGTCGTTAGCGAGAGTCGGGGGAAAGCTGTCTCTTGGTATTCAACCAGAGGGCGGAGGAAGGGCTTGGTGAGGCCAGCGCGGGTGGTTTTTTTTTCAGACTCTGGCCGACGGCGAGGGTTTGAAAAAAAAGCTATCGCTTGGACTTCACAAAGTCCTTGCTTTCGTGAGACCTAGGGGGGTTTCTCTTCGCTCTGGCTACGGCTAGGGTTTGAAGTGGACTATCCTCTGGTTCTCACTAAGTAAGCTATTGCGTTGGAGAGATCGGGCGTGGCTTTCTTCTGACTCTGGCCGTTGGCGAGGGTTTGAAGAAACCCATCGCTTTGACTAGCTTCACCAATTCTTGCGTTTAGGGTTAAGGGACAGCTTTCTTCGAGTTCTTGAGAGCTTGGAGAGAACTGTCCCTTGGTCTTTACAGAGCTTTGGCTCCGAGGAAGGTCAATGGGTGGCTTTCTTTTCGCTCTGGCTGCTGCGGGGGTGCAAAGAAAGCCATCTTGACTTTCTCCGAGATAAAGGTCTTTTGCGTTGATTAATTGAGGGAAGGAAGATGTTTATCGGCACAACAAAACAGCAAAGAGTAGACAAACCAGTAACAATCTAGTGAGATGTGGAAAGACGGATACAAGGCATATGAGCGAACCCCCGTCCAACTATATCCATCACAAAGATATCGAGTGATAGTTTGTGACCGGCCACCCCCCACGTATTGTGGCTATCTGGTCACGCTAGGACTCCCATCAACGCCGGGGACTTATCACCCCCGTACACGAGAAAGTATCAACACACCTACCAAAAGTACGCCGTGGCCAGGCTTCGGTAGATATCTATATCTGCGTATGCTTGCTGTCCTTCTTTCTTCCACAACTACATAGGCATTCTTCCCCACACTTGACACAACGTGAAACCAACCAAACCAGGTATGTTCATCCCTCTGATGTCTTCAAAGTTTTGCGTCGGTTATGACCAACTCTACCGCTGAAGCTGGGGGTTTCCGGTGGATCAAACTTCCTTTAGAAAGATCTTCTGGCGTGCCTCTTCTAGATCTGCCGGGATGTTCACTCTGAGAAATACTAGCTTCCACCCGACCAGAGGACAGAACACACAGGGCTGAAAGACAAGAACCTAGGAGGTACCCACCCACAACTACCCCGACACCGAGCAAAAGGTCCCCGTCCCTCGTACTAGCCAAGCCAACGCCAATACCAGAGGTTGTTAGAATTCTGTTTACGGCAGGCTATCTCTGTATAAATGGTGCTATTTAAGGAAAGACCGGGTCATAGGGGGGCTTGAACTTCCCCCCGCTAGCGGAAGGAATACCTCGAAGGGAAGAACCATCTGTTCCAGAAAGCTGTAAATGCTCTCCGCGCATCGTGCACCTTTAATGCAGTTGATGTCGCCGGATTGGAGTTAGCTGGTCTCGGGTCTATATACTAGGCCTGCCTACATAGTCACAATCAAACCGGACCGGATTGGTGCCTCCTTCTCTGCAAGGAAAACATTTTACCATGCAGTACATTCATTAAGGCTCATAGCCCCGTGCATTGTTACCAACGGTAGTAGGAGCCATATTGAAGAAAAGGTTCCGGAAGGGGTTCTTTATCACAGTACAGGCCTTCGCTGTCGGGTACCAAGACCTACACAGTGTGTATCGCGGCACCAGGTTTATCCGCAGCCAGGCAATGCTTCCACTGGTGCCACTCTAGCTCGGTAGGAAGGAAACCGACCCCATTATCCCGGCACCGGATGGATTTTTGAGCCGCAACACAGAACCCTACAGGGACAGAAAGCCCTAATGCTTTCTTTGTCAATTGATTTTTGCGGGCTTGCTCTGAGGGGACCAGATTGAGATATTTAGTGGTACCACGGTGATCGCCGTCACCCTTTCTCACTCGCACACATAACACAGGCTCCGATTCTCACTCGGCAGCATCAATAAACCTTCTGACACCTTATCTAGGTTTCTCAGGTCCACCGAGCTCTTCCGACGTTCTACCAGCACAGTTACAAGCACAGAACTGACGTTAATGGCGACACAAGGGGATACAGGAACTTACACATGTACCCACGATCATTGGCCCTCTCCCTTAATACCCCAAATCAGAACCCCGTGGTGGAAAACGCACCCGAGTGACAGCCAGTGACGCCCAGCTATGCAGAGTAAGTAGCTGTCCCCTGTCTCTCCCCTCGATCCCCAGCCCGTTGCCATAGCAACACCCTCGGCCAGCTTCCCCACAACGCTCGGTCGGACCCCACGCACAAGGCTGCCAAAGACTAACTAACCGCGTTCAGTAATCAGGCGCAAGCTGTCGAGAGCTGCAATATAAAAACCCCACAGCTCCCCCACAAAACCCGATTCCTCCCCCACACACCTACATCTCTCCATACCTCTTCCTCCACAATGGCCGAAATCGCAAACTACCCCTCCCTGTTCACGCTCACCTCCAAGACCGCCGTCGTGACCGGCGGCTCCCGCGGCCTCGGCCTGCACGCCGCCTCGGGCCTGCTCCACGCCGGCTGCAGCACCCTCATCATCACGTCGCGCAAAGCCGACGGGTGCGCCACCGCCGTCCGCGAGCTGCAGGCACAGCACCCCGCGGCCAAGATCCTCGCCATCCCCGCGGACCTCAGCAAGCTGTCGGAGGTGGAGCGCTTCGTGAAGGCGGTCGACGAGGCGACGGGCGGCCGGGTGGACATACTGGTGGCGAACGCGGGGGCGACGTGGGGCGCGCCGCTGGAGAGCCATCCGGACGAGGGCTTTGCGAAGGTCATGGATCTGAATGTGAGGAGCGTGTTTAATCTGGTGAAGCTGATGGTGCCGCTGCTGGAGCGGGCGGCGGCGGAGAGGGGCGGCGATGAGAGGAGTCGGGTTGTGACGGTGGGGAGTGTGGCGGGGATTGTGGTGGGGGGGACGGGCGTGAATGGGACATATGGATATGCGGCGAGTAAGGCGGCCGTTATGGTATGTCACCACCCCCGTTCCTGATGTGCAATTGGAGCGGTACTAATTGTGAGTGGTGCAGCATATGACGAAGCATCTCGCAATCGAGCTCGCCCACCGCCGCATCCTGTGCAATGCCATCGCGCCAGGCTTCTTCCCAAGCAAGATGGCAAACGGCTTCATCTCAAAGTCCGGCGGCGTGGAAGGCCTCGGGAAGGAGAATCCGACAGGAAGGCTCGGGAAGGCGGAAGACATTGTCGGCTGCGTGGTGTTCCTCTGCTCAAACGCCGCCAGCCACGTTAACGGCGCGATCCTCCCAATTGATGGCGGAAAGCACCTGGCGCAGAGCAGACTATGATGGGTGTGAATAGCGGAGCGGATTGCGTTTTTTTTCATTATGTATTTTAGCCTAGCCTACATATAGTCATTCCCGTAGCAAGCAAAACAAAAGAAAAAAAGAAAAAGAAAAAGAAAAGAAAGAAAACCATCCTCTATAATCATTACCATTACCGCAACCCTACTTCTCCCCCTCCGCCTCCTTCTGCTGCTTCTCACGCCCCGCAATCTCCATAACACACTCCACAACCCTCCTCACCCCCTCCATCTCCTCCTCCACCATGCCCCCGCCCCCCGCCGCAGAAAAGCTCATGCTATTCCCCACATACACCGGCAGCGCCAGCCGTTTCGCCAGGATCTTCCCGATGCGTGTCGCCGTCTCGAGCGTCTGCTCGCGCACGTAGATGGCGGTGGATAACGGCTGCACTGACGTTCTCTATCATCCACCACGCACCACTACATTAGCCCACAGGGTCACTAGGAGGTAGAAGGAGGAGAGTGGGGGGGGGGGGGGGACATACAGAGGGCAGCGCATAGATAAACGAGCCCAGCGGCGCCGGCTGCGAGGAGGTCTCGGGCGTGCGCGTGGTCAGGAAGAGGAGGAGGGAGTGCGCGGTGAGCGTCATGTGGATGTGGACGGTGGTGTTGTGGGTGTGCGGGAGGGGGAAGGAGAGCTGGTGGGGGGTTGCGGAGGGGCCGAGGGCCGTCATCGTTCGTAGTAGTAGCGGTGGTTGTGTTTGTGGCGGTGGTGAAGCTGTCTTGTGGGTGGTGGTTGGGTTTGTGGTGAGATTCGGGGGTGAGAGGAGAGCTTTGGTGGGGTTCGTGGTGGGGCTCGTGGTGGGGCGGGTGTGTGCAGGGGTAGGTGGCTTGGCTTGGCGACGAGTGATGGGTCGTGATTAAGATGTGGACGGAATTAAGTGGATTGGGGATCGATGGAGAGAAGACTCGTATCGTAGTGATAAAATAGCGGTATCCTCAAATCTCTCTCCTATATTAAGCCAAATAGATGCCATACAGGGCAAGAGGCGAATCCGCACACAAAAGGTCTCGAGTATCCGGGGATCAGATCCACTCCGTCCAGTAGCTAAATCTATCTATACACATCCCTCTAAACCTACAACTACACGTCTGTCTGTCGAAGAATGCTGTCTACCCTAAAGCAGACGCCGAGACGGAGTGGCCTTGGCTCACAGATCTCGTTATCTCTCTTATCTGCAATCAATGGCTTACCACCCGCTCCAGCACCCACTGTAGCAGCAGTAGCTCCGGTAGCATAGTAGAATAATGCGCCCGATCGGGTAGCAGTAGGACGTTTTGCCAGAGGAGATGGGGTCCGAAACCCCCCCGAGGGCTGCTGTATTTCTGCTTAGAAATTTCTTTTTTTTACTGTGGGATAGAGATAAAGCGGGAGAGCGAGAAACGATAATTGCAATAAAGGGCAATATTAAATGTAGTATAGATAAGAAGGGAAGAGAATTGAGGCAAATCACCCCCCCCCTTCGCCTATCACGTTAGTGCCAAGAGAGTGAGTGATCTTTGCTCACGGGTCTATTTACTGAAGACCGCACATACCCACTAGGGGTGTGCCAACTCGCGACCGCGAGTTGTACGTTGAATTGTGGGTATCAAATAAAATTTAATTCTCCCTCTACAATCATGAGGGGCCTTCGGTCCCATCCTCCTCCTCTCGTGAGTGCTCAGTACTTTGATGTGTCGTGCTGACTAATCAACATCCCTGCACCCAACAGCCAATCAGACCGTTCCAATAATAGAAAAAATAGAGACAGTACATTATAGATACGTAACGTCTTCTCCCTCTTTCTTCTCCACAACAAACACAATGACCGCCCAGGATGACCAGCAAAACACAATCGACGATGCCATTACCGGTACTAACCCACCACGGCCTTGAATTGTACGCGCCCTGTAGTCCTCCGGTCGGGACTGGAGCTCGGGGGCTCATGTACTGGTGTACCCAGGGTGTCGGAAAATGATGCATATTTGGTGATATCTCAACCATGAGAGAATTAATCTTCACACAAGTCTATCTTGAGGTCAATTCAAGTGTGCGGATTCCTTTCATAATGAAAAAATGGGTGGGAGGGTCTGTCACCGATACTTTCGGGGTTTTACTACTGGTTTTGGCTATCTAATAGTGACTTCTTGCCTGAAGAATGGTTATTTCACATTCAAATAACACTAAATGTATTTTTAGGCATTACAGAGATGTCCTACACTCGAAGTTTGAATTTAGGGAGCGTGTTGCGTTGTGCCAAATATATGTATTTGGGGTAATTGGGCGTTGCCAGGCCAAAATGTGCATCACTTTCCTACACCCTGGGTACATTTATCGGTCACGGATATTTTGCGTTAGGAAATGCAATGCTTGCCATTCTCTTATAAATTACCTTCATTCTCTTTCCTCCTTCTCTATGTATATTTATTACTACTGTTATCTCTTACCCTATCTCTATCCCGCAGTAAAAAAAAGAAATTTCTAAGCGGAAATACAGCAGCCCTCGGGGGATTTCGGACCCCATCTCCTCTGGCAAAACGTCCTACTGCTACCCGATCGGGCGCATTATTCTACTATGCTACCGGAACTACTACTAATACAGTGTGCACTGGAGCGGATGATAAGCCATTGATTGCAGATAAGAGAGATAAGGAGATCTGTGGGAACGAGTGACATTCCATGATTAGCGCTTGCCCTCAAAACCAAAACCACCTCGAAGCAGAGCCATATATCGGGCTTCAGTGTGATCTTTCTAGGGCCACTAACGCTCTTCCTGGGAACCACATTAGCGGCACCTCGTGCAGAGAGAGTACGAAGGAAAAGAGAACGAAGAGAAATCCCGTTCAACCCTTCGGAGAACGCGCAGAGATTGAGTGAGACGGTCCCCTACCCGCTCGTGAGGGGCAGAACTGAGCGTAGCTTGGCCCTTCATGGTATCTGGGACTAAGAGAGGCCGATCTAAACGTAACTCGATCCCTCCTGATCCCGAAGGTCTGAGAGGGGCCGAACCAGAGGGAGCTCGTACCGCAACTCGGCCCTTCCTAATCCGAAGGAACAGGAGAAGCCGAACTTAACGAAACCTGGGTTCTCCCCCGGCCCAAAAAGGTCTGAGAGAAGCCAGCGATAGTCTCAACGTGACTTGTGCCCCTCTTGACCCTCTAGGGCAACAGTGCGCGAGGACTAAGAGGGGCGGATTCCATATTCTGGCTTAGAAAGACATCGAGACAGTTGTCAAGCTTCCCATCTATCTCCTCTTGTCCCTTCTTTAGCGTTCACCATTCAATTTGTAAAGAGGGGTTGGCTACGATCATCCAGAAGTGTAGTGAAGGTGATTCTGCGAGCGGAACCAGAAGGGTGATGCACTGGCGCGTCAAGAAGGAGCGGGTGGTGCACTGATGCGAGGGGATGAAGGCCTATCTGACAGTGGTGGTAGCTACATAGCCTGACTGATGGAGAAGAGTATATTGAAATAGGTACACTGTTATTGTCATTGATAGAGATGATCAACGGGCAAGGTGTGGTGGTGGTGAAGAAGGCGCCAGAAGTTATTTACTGACCCGGGATCGTACCGTACCCTGTCGACTACGGATATGTCAAATCTTATCGATTGGGACGTGACCATAAACATTTCCTGATTGATTTGAGGCTAGACATCGGTTAGATATGTGACATTTTGACCTCCTCATCTGTCGCAACGCATATATGCGGATAATCGGCATTGCCGGGCTTCCGCAGACAGTTTGAAACTTTAGACCCCTGGAATCATGATTATATAGTGTAGTGTTTCCTACGAGTGCTTAATTAGCTTGCAGTTTCATCTCAAGATAACAGGCCCGAATTGATAAGATAATCTTCCCTTGGGATCTTAATCCTGAAAATACTCGTGAGGAAGAACAAGCTTACGCGTCCTTTTATGCCTCACTTTAGGTCTGCCAGGTCGACATCTAAAGTACATGTTCTAATCTCCAACATCATTTTTCTACTCTACCTACGAGTGCCTCTCATCCAGGAACGTTCCTAGGTGGGGTATAATATCTGAAATAACTTCCCCACATTCCCTCTCTGATAGTGCTATGCCTAGCTGCAGCAGGCAATCACTGTGGCAGGATAGAGCAAACCAGGGATATCATAATCGATAAACTAGGACAGATGCGCAAACAGAAAGTCACACTATCAGAGGATTAACTGCATTCGAATCTGCCATACACCCTTTGTGGAATGTGGTTAGGAAACCGAATCTTTAAGCTATTGGATGGTCCACAGCTATTGGGTACCAAATTTCTAGCTGGCGTGAAGAAACATCTTCAGCTAACAGACACCACTTCAAACTCATATTCGGAGCACTTCTAAGCCTTTATAATGGAATAATGGACGTTCGCAGATGGTCGTATGGCCTAGAGAATTGTCAACATCCATTGAGTTCAATGGCTTCAACCACAAAAAGCCTGCTCGAGCGTACCCTTGAATCTATCACTTCATTCTTGAAGGAATTGCTGAGATACTGATAATCTTAACATTCTAAGAGCGGGTCTTTGCAGCTATAATATATGGGGCGGTAAATGTGTCAAAAGTAATTTTACCAACGGTAGTTAATTATTTTACCACCGGTAGTGAAAATAATACCGGTATTTATACCCTATAATGCTAATTTCTATGATAAAAGCACAGACCTTTTGGCCAAAAGGGGCCATATAATGCCGATATATATCAAAATTGTCCACCGGTGGGAAATTTTCATAAGCTTTGGCATTAATGATTGAACAATTACTTATTTAGTATAGCGTAGCATAAAGACCGAAACCCAGTGTTTATACCGGTGGGAAATGTACTAATGTAGGATAGCGTGCAGACACAATGACTGAAATTCAGTGCTTATACCACCGGTGGTAAATAATTTACTACCGTTGGTAAAATTACTTTTGACACATTTACCGCTGCATAATAATAGACGTCTCAACGGCTCACAGCAGTTGTATCTTATGGGAAAATAAATCATAATAAAATTC